GCCCGGCGGCCCCGCTCCCGCCCTTTCCTCCCGGCCCCCGGCGCCCCGCCGGTCTCACGGCGCGCTCCGACACCAACAACCGACTTCTGCGTCACGGGGGTGACGCACGCCTGAGCGCTGCCTGGCGCCCAACCACATCTGCGTTTGCTTTTATAAACGGGTGCGCCTGGGGTCTTTCCCGTCACCCGTGCGCCCTCAGAGTGCCCGCTCGAAGTGTGCAAAGCGCCGCTACCGGGGAAGGGTTTGTTCAGTCCGGCGGTGGATCTTACATCTGGGTTCCTCCCGGTGGAAGAACGGTGGTTATTTTACAGTGTGATCAACATCACTAGTAGCTGCCAGAGCGAGGCGGAGTGCGACTGGGAGCTAAGCAGACTGGGCACCAGCGCAGGGATCCCACCGCCGCTGAAAATACAACCTTCTCGCAGCTCAGGGGGGTTACATTTCTAGTGAGACAGCAGACCTTGCATTAAAATTAATGTGGAGCAAGAAAGGGACTTCAAGCCTTTAGGCAGTAAAGCTTGCCACGACAGGCCGACGAGGTACCACTCCAGATAGCGAAGTCCACCTGTCAGATGCCCGTTCTGGGATGCCCCTGTCAGCCTCCTGCCAGAGCCACGTGGCGTCTGGCTTTCCTCACACTGATCAGAGGTTGGCCACTTGCAAGGCAACACCACATCTCCTGTCTGTTGGGGAGCCAGACAAGAGGAGGGAGGCTGCGAGCCAGCCGGTATCTGGCCAGCCAGGCTACCAGCTGGGACGTCAGGGAAGGTCTGGGGTAACAAAGACCTGGACGCCTGTGTAAGTTTCACGCAGTAGTCCAGTGTTTAGACCTGTCCGATGGCCCTTATTTGTTTGGAGGAATATGATGTTGAAGTTAGAGAGAAGGAATGGCAAACGCCATCCATTGCTTGGTAGAAGACAGCCTGGCTTTAAGTGAAGTCAAGACGACTGTCACAAGTGCTCTGTAGTCTTCCGTTTACAGTACTGATCTGGTAGGAACAAAGACTTCAGTCCTAGTTTCTGCTCCAATCAATATCTAATTATTTTACACGCAAAATGCATCAATAGTTATTTTTACTTTCTTACGTGCCCGTTGGGAGTTGTAAATCTGCTAGTAAATCTAGACCTAGGTCTTGCCCTTACCAACAGGAAATACGTATGCCTCACCTTACGCATACAGGCACTCCTACCTCTACAGTTAACGTATGCCTCTTTAATGAAAAGATTTGGAACTAATCATAGTTACCATGCAGTATTTCCTAGAAAACAAAGCTGATAAATGTATTAAATGATTCTATGCATCTTTTTGACATGCATTGGTTCAAACTGCAGTCTCAAATGTAACAAAAGAAGATAATAAACTGATAATAATCAGTTGATTTTTATGTAGGATGTGTAAATAATGCATTTCTATAAGGTATCTGTACTTTGTTCCTATTTTAATTTCTTACACTAATTTTAATTAGAAGTCTGAAAGTCAACACCCCTATATTCATGGTAACATTTTTCCTTAGGTTCCAATTTCTTATTTACTGGTATTTATATTTGAAATACATTCTGCGTGTGTATACACACATGCATAGGTACAATGCATGATGGGGTAATGTGCCATGGAAGCTGCAGGTTTTGTATTGCTATATGTATTTGGGATAGTAAAATGTAGTCTAAAATACAGGTTAAAAGTCTTTTTTACCCACAGATATAAACATGGGCACATATATCAGTAGATTAGAAAAGCAAAAGTTTTACTTTGCTTTCACAGATCAAATGCTTTAAGATGCTGTGAAATAAATAGACACAAGCAGTAAGATGCCATTCATACCATCTAATGTTTAGAAAATCAATAAACTGGAGAGCCGATTAAAAACATAAAGGAGAAACTGAGCTGAAGCCAAACGGAGACTGAAATATCAGTCAAACAATACTGCAATGATTCTTTTCGTTTTTGACTCAAGAACGGAAACATCCTTTTCAAAAACAATTCATACAACTTGTCACTTCGCTTCCACAGCTTTTTTTTTTTGAACAGGGGATATTGCTAAACAACTTTTTGTGTTTATTAATAAGGGCCAGAAGGCCATGAAAACATGAAGGAGATCCCATGCCACGTGTAAGTGACTAACAAATATGCAGATTAGTAGTGGGGTCATTTATCACTTTCTTCCAATCACTCAAACAAAATAAGATTTTTTTGTTCTCTCAAGTAAGCTGTTTGACACTGTACTGATGTTTAAACCATTGTTTAAATGAAAACTGGAACTAGAAATAGCTCATTTTTTAATGCGTACCTTTCGAGAGTGGTGTATCAGTATCTTCTCAGTGGAGAAAGTTAAAAACTGCAGTTACTTCTGGCCCAGTCAAATTTACTTTTTAAGTGGACTGCTGCAGCAATAATGTCTCATATGAAGGTAATAAAGTCTTTTACTCAGCAAGTCAGAAAACTGTTTATCAGTCATGAGGAAACAAGTTGTGGTGTCTTTCATGATCTGAAAAGCAGTTGCATTTTCTGTGTGGTGCTCCAAGAAGCTCCTTTGCAGACAAATGTCTGCATCTGCTGTAATGGGCTGACAAAGAGCAACGTTCAGGATAGATTCTTTTTCTCGTTTTCTGAAATAATTTCCATTAAAGATTCATAATCAGCATATTCTCTCAGAGTTTGTATCATTTCATCTAGCATTTCTTCCCCTAGCATGAAACACTCAATATGATGCACTGATCTGCTTATCCTGTGGTCAGTAATCCGGTCCTGTGGAAAGTTGTATGTTCTGATCTTCTCCGATCTTCCTTTAGTCCCAATCTATCAAACAAGAAGAATCAGTTTATTATCATTGTCTTTTTATAAAAAGGATGAAATATTGGTTAA